GGGGTGGTGCCATTTAGACTCTAGTTAATTTCTGGGCTGGACAGGAGGCAACTGAGAGAGTGATGTGGCAGAAAAATAAAAATGGCAAAACACCTACCTTTGCTATCTGCCTAACCCCCAGCTAGCTAACCACCTTACACCCATCGCCACATTTAATCTAGAACCCTATGAAGTAGATCATCATCATCATCATCGTCATCCTATAGAGAAAGAAACTGAGGCTCAGGGAAATTAAGTATCTTGCCCAGACTCAATATTACAGAAGCAACGAAGATATACACGTATGGAGTATTTCTCTGACCTACCCACTGGGCTTAACGCTGTAAATTATTAACTCATCCTCCCAACAACCCTTGGAAGTGGGCGCTAGGATTTTGACTTTCCTCCTTTTTTTGGTGGAGGAAGAACCCTGCTCCCCTGCGCCCCGAGCCTCCCTGAGGTTTGTTTGTCCCCTCTGCCCCAGATGCTGGCCGGAAGCGCCAAGAGGAAGGTGACAGGAACAGTGGAGCCAGGGACGGTGAGCTTGGAGGTGGACCCCACCGGAGTGGAAGCTTGGGAGAAGCGGGGGTGGGGGTCGGGGCTCGAGACGGCTGCCCGCGGCCTCTGATCGCCCACCCCATGCCCAGGTTGCCAACGGCCCCGGCCCAGAGGGGCAGAACTACCGCTCGGAACTCCACATCTTGCCGGCCTCGGCCGGGGGTCCCGAGGACGCCCACGCCGCATCCGTAGCCGCCGCCGCCCCGGCGCAGAGCGCCCGTAGCCCCAGCGCGCTGGCACCAGGTGAGTCGCCTCCCGGGGTCTCGGGACCAGCGCTGCGGGGCTGGAAGCGTGGGTGCGCTCGCTCACGGGCAGGAGAACGTCTGGCCCACCCTCTTCCCCAACACACACACGCGCATACACACTTCACGGACCGGCACGCGAACCCAGAGAAGCGCAGCGTCGCCCCCAAGGTCAGACAAGTCCGAACCAAGACTAGAACCCGCGCCCAGAACTTGCATCGCGGTTCCCTTGCTCCAGTCCTCTTTGTATCCTGGGATGGGGAAGGGCCTCCTTTCCTGAAGCGACTTTGACACTCCCTCCCAACACTCTTTCCTACCTCCGGTCTTCTCAGACCCAACTGAATCTTTTGGAATGGTGGGGTTGAGGGAGACGGAAGGGGGCTGAGGGAGACGGAGCTGGGGCGCCCCCTTCCGCTCGCCCCTCCACGCCTGCTGCTCCACCCCCAGGCTACGCCGAGCCACTGAAGGGCGTCCCGCCAGAGAAGTTCAACCACACTGCTATCCCCAAGGGCTACCGTTGCCCGTGGCAGGAGTTCATCAGTTACCGCGACTACCTGAGCGACCTAAGTCACACCCACCGCCTCGCTGACTACCGAAATTTCAACAAGTAAGACAGGGCGGGCACCCGGGAGAGAGAGCGGGAGGGCCAGGGAGCCATCGCCACCGCTGCAGTGGCCTGCATTCCTGAGCACTCTGTAGATGCCAGGCTCTATCCGAGGGCTTTGATGCGCTTGCTGAGCTCTTGCTATAACAATGCCTCAGCACCCAGTAGGTGCGCAATAAATGTAGGAAGAATGAATGGTGAATGTGCCATACGTCTTGTCGGTCCTCTCCACATCAGAGTGGGGAAGGCACTACAAATTTTCCTCTTCTGCACAAGAAGAGACCGAGTCTCAGGAATGTGAACAACGGCCCAAAGTCACAAGACAAGGAAGCGGTGGCAGGGCTGGGATTCAAGTCTGGGTTTGTCTGACTCCACAGCCCAGTCAGTGTCTTGTTCTTCATAACTGCTGTGTGCCACCTCTTTGATGGACATTAAGATTTGCATCCTTCTCGGAGGGGTCCCCAGATCTTACTTCTAGGCCAGCGGGGCCTTTTAGGGGTGTCCAACCTTTTCCCCTTTCTGGGGCACATTGGGAGAAGAGTTGTCTTGGGCCACACATTAAATACACAAATGCTAGTGAAAGCTGATGAGGATTACAAAAGATCTGTATGCACTTTTTTTTTTTTAGAGACAGAGTCTCACTCTATTGCCCTGGGTAAAGTGCTGTGACATCACAGCTCACAGCAAGCTCCAACTGCTGGACTCAGGTGATCCTCTTGCCTCAGCCTCCTGAGTAGCTGGGACTACAAGCACCCAACACAATGCTCGGCTATATTTTTGTTGCAGTTTGGCCGTGGCAGGGTTCGAACTCGCCACCCTCCGGGTTTGGGGCTAGCACCCTCCACAGGCGCAACCCTGTATGCACTTTTCACGATATCTGACATCATAATAAGCAAAACAGTTCTCAAATAATCTGCATATGGCCCACAAGGCCACAGATTGGATGCCTCAGTTCAATCTTGACACTTGAGGCTTGTGTCTTTGAGACTGCCCCAAAGCGATGAATGGCATAGAGACTTTGGACACCAGAAGTGAGGACCACAAATGAGAAACTTATGCTTGTTTAGACCAGGGGGCCTCAATATAGGCTTAAACACAGACTCCAGGCCTAGCTGTGTGACCTTGGGCCAGTGACTTAACCTCTCTGAGCTTTCATAGCTCCACCTGTAAAATGAGACTTTTATGGTACCTACTTTATGAGATTGCTGTAGGGATGAAATAAGAAGATGAGGCCATTTCTGGCAAATATAAAGTCTCAATAAACAGTAGCTATTATTATTGTTTACAGGCTAGAATGATGATTAGAAATGCTAACAGGAGCACTTGAGAGTGATAAATTGACATTCTGCATCCGGGGACCCAAAAACAAACCATAGGAGTCAAGACAGGAGTTTGGCAGTGGGGAAGGCCTTGGGCTAGGGGATACTTTGCAACTATAGTTGGCTTCTTCAAGCTGATGCTATTTCTGAATATGCTTCTCTGGCTTGGGCTGCATTAAGTAAGGAAAAGGGAATCCACAGAGGGGTGGTCACAGTCAAGCTCTTCTGGCACCTGCTCAGACCACATGTGGAGACTGTATCTGTTTGACAGAGACAGATGGGAGGGCGCCAGAACCTGCTAGGCCTGGAGACCAGGCCTTATGAGAAAGATCCAAAAGAACTGGGGGCGATGGGCCTTGAGAAGAGATGGCTCAGGAGAGACATAACTGTCTTCAAACAACTGAATACCAGGCAGGGTCCTGATGGGAAGAATTGGGCCCAGCAGGCACTATGTGAGCCACGAGCCTTTGGCAGACATTCTGGAGTTCTCCGCCAGGCAGGACTGCCCTGTCTCCTCCTAGACCCTCAGACTGCCTGCTCAGCAGACATTCAGTCCTGGCAGGGAGCTTCCAGGCTGGCTGACTCAGGTTGTATCTCCCACTGTCATGCCTCAAATGTGACAGGCTAAGTCACATTTCCACCAGCAGAAGGAGGGCCTTAGGAAACTCTGAGCTCAAACCTCTTCTGGGCAGAAAGAGCAACTGAGGCATAGAAAATTGAAATAGCAGTTTTGGTAGCTAAGCTGTGCTCAAAATTCAGGACTCTGGGCTCCCAGTCAAGGGCCTGACTGTGAGGCCTGCTTGGCTTGGACACTGCCCAGCCTGTTCCCATGAGGCCTGGCTGTTGCCGCCACAGCTGGGGTGGTCCAGGCAGAAATGGTTTCCTGGCTGGAACCCAGGCTCTGGCACAAGGGTTGCCGTTCCATCCCAGAGGCAAGTACTCCCTTCTCACAAGTTCCAGGCTGCAGGGAAAACATGACACAAGCAATGTTTATTTTTCTTATAATTAATAAATGTTAAAATAACATACATAGATTCTCTTTTTTAAAAAATTAAGCATATGCGGGGTATGGTGGCTCACACCTATAGTCTCAGCACTTCGGGAGGCCAAGGCTGAACAATCCCTTGAGCTCCAGACTAGCCTGAGCAAGAATTGAGATCCCATCTTTACTAAAAATAGAAAAACTAGCCAGGCATTGTGGCCGGTGGCTAAAGTTCCAGCTACTTGGGAGGCTAAGCAAGAGGATTACTTAAGCTCAAGAGTTTGCGTTGTTGTGAGCTATGACACCATGGTACTATATCCTGGGCAACAGAGTGAGACTATCTAAAAAAAAAAAAGTCAGGCAAATGCAAACGAAGGTAGGACCCCTCCAATTCCAGTTACTTTCCCAAAAACACCACTGTTGTGGAATTGGCCTGTATGTTTTCAGAACATTTTGTATTGGCAGCTGCATACCTATCAGTGATGGGGATTGTTTTGTGGGTATATATTGGCGTGTATTTGGTTTTTTACCTCCTTGGGGTTGGGTGTTACTCTGTCACTGGGCTAGAGTGCAGTGGCTCATCATAGCTTGCAGCATCTTAAATTCCTGGTCTCCAGGAATCTTCCTGCCTCAGCTTCCCAAGTATGGCTTCCCATGACACCAGGCCCGTATGGTTTTTAGTTTTTTGTAGAGACAAGTTTTTCTCTTGCTCAGGCTAGAGCAAGACATCAAACTCCTGGCCTTAAGTGATCCTCTTGGCTCAGCCTCCCGAAGTACTGGGATTATTTAAGTGGTCCTCTTGGCTCAGCCTCCCAAAGTACTGGGGTTACAGGCATGAGCCACCACACCTGGCCAATGTGTGTGTGTGTTTAAATACTTTGCATTTCATTCTACGACTTGCTTTTTTCACTCCACATTATGCTTTTGAAAGCATCTACCAGACTAATATATAGCTATCTACTTCCTTCCGTTTAAGCTGCTGTGTAGTATTTTGTCATGTATATGCTATATCTGTCTTGCCCATTCCTCTGCCAGTGGACATATGGGCTGTTTCTGGCATGTGGCTAATGAGCTGCTCACGTTTGCTTCCTTGTGCGTGTGTGCCTGTGCTTCCTGGCCATATGCTTGGAGGTAGAGCTGCTGGTTGACAGAGTTCATCCATCTCCGGGTTATAAAGACCCGAATTGTCCTCCCAGGCAGCAGCAGTGATGTACAGTTAACCTTCTAACTAGCAGCATATGAATGACATTTTGCCCCTATGGCCTCACCAACTTTGCCCCATTACCAAATTGTTTCACTGTGCCAGTTCTGTGGGGGAGGACTAGCAGGCCTCTGTTGTACTTTGCATTTCCCTGAATCTCAGTGCTCTTTCTAGTTTTCCCTTCTCTCTCTGGCTTGTGGGTAGAATATGTTGTTCTTTTTTTTTTTTTGAGACAGAGTCTCATTTCGTCACCCTCGGTAGAGTGCTGTGGTGTCACAGCTCACCGCAACCTCCAGCTAGGATATGTTGTTCTAAGGGGAGATGAGGAGAGGAAGGAAAAACCCAACTTCCAACTCTGCTCCTTTTTGGAGCTTTCTTAAGAGGAGTCTTGGGTTTTGCCTGGGACAAGGCAATTTTAGCTCTGAAAATGTCAATTCTATTGCTAAGCAACAAGCCATCTCCACTAGAGCCAGACTTGGCAATGGGCAGAGTTGGAGACACCTGTTGAAGATAGTCCAAAATCTTGCTGAGGAGAAGGGGAAACTGAGGCCCAGAGAGAGGCAGGGAGCAGCTCGAACATGGTGACCTTTGTGTCAGGTTGCTGGCATCCCTCTCCCACACGGCCTCCTCTCCTGCTACTCTCTTTCCTCAGGACCCCAGTGCCATTTGGAGGACCCTTCGTGAGGGACATCATTCCCACGGCAGGTACCCCCTTCATCCCAGAGCCCTTCAATGGCTTGGAACTCCTCCGCCGCAGACCCAGCTTCAACAGAGTGGCCCAGGGCTGGGTCCGTAACCTCCCAGAATCTGAGGATCTGTAGCCCCAGCCTGAATCTTCAGTCCCCAGTCTTGCAGTTCTGGTACCATCTGGAGCCAACTTGTGGATAGCACTTCACAGTTTATGAAGGGCCTTAGCTCTCAAAACTTTATTACAAATGGCCTCAAAGGTCACAAAGTTGAGTAGTACCCCAAAATGAATGTGCTTTAAAATTACTTGGGATGTTGTTCCTATTATGGATTTCTGACCTGTTCTAGATTTGCAGTCTCTATTAGTAACCAGTACTCCAGGTGATTCCAGTGTAACTTGTCTGTGGTTCGTGTCCTTAGGAATCCCACAGCTTACACTCCCTCAGTGACAGGGTGGCCACTGGCAGCCCATCTTTATGTGAATAACTTCAGTGACTGCAAAATTATTCTATCATTAGAACTCTAAGATGCAGTTGGTCTTCATCTACTCATGCATTAAACATTTTCTAAGCACTGACTGTGTGCTAGACAGTGTGCCAGGTCCAGGGCCAGAGGAGGAAAAGATAGTAGGGAGGATGGATTTCTAAAATATTAAATCATCTTATTTTCCCTAAAGCTTGCTAATTGACAATTGAGGAGCAAAGTACCCTGGGGAAGATGATGGGGTCCCTAACCCTGGATGGGGGTACGATTCCAGCAACTTACCAGAAGAGTTGAGTGGGACCTTGGAGGAGGTGTGAGTCTTTTAGAAGAGGGCACAGGGGAGGGCATTCCTGGAGAGTGGACCAGTATGTGCAAAGGTGGGGAATTGAGAACAGGTGTGGGGTGTTCTGGAGAAGGAGGAAGGCTGTGTTAAAGGAGTAGGTGAGGGAAGGTTTTAGGAAATGGGGAAGGTTTTAGCAATGAGTCTTGCTGATTGCTGTGTGAGGTACAGATCGAAGAATAATGCCAGGTGCCAGAAGGTCTGCAGGCCATGGGGATGGGGAGAAGGGACCACCCATGGGGCACCTTACAGTACAAAGTGGGGCACCTATTAAGACTTCTTTCCACCCTCCATCTGGGCAGGCCCCTTAGTTCAAATGATGATGATGAGGAGGATTAGGGTGGTGGTGGTAATAGCTACTTTTTATTTAGTGCCTTGGTGTTTGGGCTAGTAGTAGGTTCTTTACTATGTCTTATTTCTAATTCTCAGTACGATCTTGAGAGAAAGATATTTTACAGATAGAGATATTCAAGCTCAAAAGGGGTAGAGTCAAAACGGGACCATGTCTGACTCCACTGGATGTCTCTTCACTGCCCTAGGTGACCAAGCCCATGCCCACTCCCTCTGGAACCACCTGATCACAGTGCCCTGCCTTGGGGGTTAGAAGTCAGGAGTGCAGGCTGGGGAGCCAGCTGGATGGGATGGTTCTAACTCTGCCACTGCTAGCCATGTGGACTGGAGTGAGTCCCTGTACATCTCTCAGCCGCTATTTCTCCATCTGTTCGATGCAGTATGGAGGCTCCTTGATAGGGACGTTGGGAGCACAGTGCAGATGTCATAGTAAGGGCTCAGTTGATGTTGGGCTTCATGCAACTATTGCTCTGGGTTGGAAATGATGTGCTTGCCATGGATGCAGCTTGAGAAGCAGGCTGTTGAGGTGTCACGGGGACCAGGAAAGCTGAAATCTAAAGGAAAACCTCTGCCAGCTCTCTGTGGGCAAGAATCCCCTCCTGCCCGGCCTTCCTCCATCTCTCGCTTTCACTCAGGGAGATGAGGAAGGCCAGGAGTCCAGTCAGTTCCCAGGGTGGTGGGATAGGGATTGCCTTTTCTTTTTGTTCTGGAGTTTCACTTCTCTTCTGAGTCCTAAGGGGACAGCAGCCTGACTCTTAGAATTACATGCCATCGATGTGTTCTCCTGAATTTTGGGGCTGCCTTTAAAGCCTCCATGAGCTTTCCATGAACTGGAGACCAACCATTAACATGTCTGAAAAGTGGAAGAGAGGACTTGAGTTGCCTCTGGTCAGTTCTGATGTGCTTGGGAAGGTACCTGCAGCTGCCAGGTGTGGAAGAGAGCCTGACGAGGAGACTGCAGCACCCCAAAAGGATCCTAATTTCTTTCTGCTTCTGATGTGACTTTTGCCGATGTTGTGATAAAGAAAAAAAAAAAAGGAATGTAAAAATAAAAAATGACAAACCAGAAGTAAAATGTAAAAATACCTGCCCATATAGCCCCTCCCATGCGCACACACACACGTTCCCACCTTCCTGTGTTCTGCCCCATTCCCACATGCCAGAGGGAACCACTGGTGATGGTTGCTTGTTCTAGATTTCTAGAATTATTTGAATAAATATGTACATTCATAGGTATGTAGGTATGTTTTTGTCTTAAAGGAATTTTACTATTAATACACATATGGTTTTGTATCTCACTGCTTTATTCCACAACAAATTTGGATCCTGAAAAAACAAGTCATGGGTGGTGCCTGTGGCTCAGTGTGTAGGGCACCGGCCCCATATACCAAGGGTGGCAGGTTCAAACCTGGCCCTGGCCAAACTGCAATAAAAAAATAGCTGAGCGTTGTGGCGGGCGCCTGTAGTCCAAGTTACTCGGGAGGCTGAAGCAAGAGAATCACCTAAGCCCAGGAGTTGGAGGTTGCTGTGAGCTGTGATGCCACGGCATTCTACTGAGGGCAATAAATTGAGAGTCTGTCTCTACAAAAAAATAAAAAATAAAATTAAAATTAAAAAAACAAAACAAGTCATTAACCTTTTGTGTAGTTAGGGACCTAACAAGTTCTTTATATGAAACTCTATACTTTTGCCTGGTTTTATTCTTTCTATAAATTAAATTGTATATAGTGATGGAAATGAACAGGACTAAGAATAGTCAAAATATTGAGAAGCCTGACATTAGCAAGGATGAACGTGAATAAACTAGTTTCATGCAACAACATGGATGTCTCTCGAACAAGCAAAGGAAGCCAGATAACCACAAATATGTTTACTAATGCAAGGAAAGACAGTACAAAAGTCAGAGTAGTGACAACTTTGGGAAGAGGGAAGTATTTGTGAATGTGAAGAGCACATAAAATGCTTCTAGGGTCACTGGGCACGGTGGCTCTTGCCTGTAATCCCAGCACTTAGGAGGCTGAGGAGGTGGATTGCCTGAGCTCACAGGTTCAAGACCAGCCTGAACCAGAGAGAGACCTCATTTCTAAAAATAGCCAGGCATTGTGGCAGGCGCCTGTAGTCCTAGCTACTTGGGAGGCTGAGGCAAGAGAATTGCATAAGCCCTAGAGTTTGAGGTTGCTGTGAGCTGTGACACCATGGCACTCTACCAAAGGTGACAAATTAAGACTGTCTCAAAAAAAAAAAAATGCTTCCAGGGTTACTGTTTCTAGGCCTGGGTAATTGTTACATACATGGCCACTTCAAAATATTTAAGGTAGTATCTCTGTGTTATATACTTCTCTGTATATGTGTTATATTTTACCAAAATAATCTCTCCTTTTAAAAAAATAGATTAATATTAAATTAGACATACCTGAAGAAAGAATTAGTGAACTTGAAGTGCCCATAATGTATCATAGAGATGGAAAATGTGAGAAATAAGTTAAATGATATGGAGAATAAAATGAAAATGCCAAACACTAATAGCAACACTTTTCAGCAGTAGTGGGAAAATATCTTTGAAGAGTGAGAGCAAAATAGATTTTCAGACAAATGTGTATATATACACTTTTTTTAAGAGACAGAGTCTCCCTTTATGACCCTCAATAGAGTGCTGTAGCGTCATAGCTCACAGCAACCTCCAGCTCTTGGACTTAGGTGATTCTTTTGCCTCAGCCTCCCGAGTAGCTGTGACTACAGGCGCCCACCACAACGCCCAGCTATTTTTTGTTGCAGTTTGGCCGGGGCTGGGTTTGAACCCACGACCCTCAGTATATGGGGCCAGCGCCCTACTCACTGAGCCACAGACACCACCCCAATATTTTTTTTTGAGACAGCCTTGGTAGAGTGTTGTAGCATCATAGCTCACAGCAACCTCAAATTCTTGGGCTTCAGTAATCCTCTTGCTTCACCCTCCTCAGTAGCTAGGACTCCAGGCACCTGCCACAACCCCAGCTAGTTTTTCTATTTTTAGTAGAGACAATGTCTCACTTTTGCTCAGGATGATCTCGAACTCCTAAATTCAGGTAATCCATTGCCTTGGCCTTCTGGAGTGCTGGGATTACAGGCTTGAGCCACTGTACCCAGCCTGTATTTTTTGAGACAGGGTCTTGCTCTGTCACCCTGGCTAGAGTGCCACTAGCATCAGCCCAGCTCACAACAATCTAAACTCCTGGGTTCAAGCAATCCTCCTGCCTCAGCCTCCTGAGGAGCTGGGACTACAAGCGCCCACCACAATAGCCAGCTAATTTTTCTATTTTTAGTAGAGATGGATTCTCACTCTTGCTGAAGCTGGTCTCAAACTCTTTGAGTTTAAGGATCCTCCTACCTCAGTCTCCCAGAGTGCTAGAAGTAGAGGCCTGAGCCATCGTGCCTGGCTCATAATTCTGATTTAAGAAAGATGAACTACATACTTATTCTGTGCTTCAATTTTTGGTTGGTTTGTTTCTACAAAATTCATAACCAAAGCATGTTACAATCTGTTCTCCAAAAAAGAATACACAGATAGTCATATATTTATGTATGTACATGTATATATAAACCATTGAATCTAGCAATTATTAAAATGCTACCTGTAAAATCCACTTCTTATTCACAAATTGGCTGAAAATCGTTTACATGCTCAAAAGTAGGCAAACAAAATAAGAAACACTCAAAAGCATGGAAAAATATCTGAAGTACTCTACCTTCCTTCACATTTGGCATTATAGCAATAAAATACAATTCCCAAGTGCTTCTAAATTAATTTTTAAATCTTTTTTTTTTATTTGTTTTTGAAACAGAGCCTCAAGCTGTCCCCCTGAGTAGAGTGCCGTGGCCTCACAGCTCACAGCAACCTCCAACTCCTGGGCTCAAGCAAGTCTCCTGCCTCAGCCTCCCAAGTAGCTGGGACCACAGGAGCCCGCCACAACGCCTGGCTATTTTTTGGTTGCAGCCATCATTGTTGTTTGACGGGCCTGGGCTGAATTCGAACCCGCCACCTTGGGTGTACGTGGCTGGTGCCTTAGCCACTTGAGCCACAGGTGCCAAGCCATTTTTAAATTAAAAAAAAAAAAGGTAGATGAAACACTAGAGAAACAAATTCTGCAAAGCTAAAACAGATGTCATATGGGGCATATCTGCCTCAGAAGTACATATTTTAGATAAAAGTGACTTGAAATAAGCTTCAGGAAAAATGGATTAATGATAAATTTTGCCAATATCCCTAAGAAGGGTGGCTTTTAAATTCCATGTTATTGGCTCAGCGCCCATAGCACAGTGGTTATGGCACCAGCCACATACTCTTTTTTGAGACAGGGTCTTGCTCTGTCACCCTGGCTAGAGTGCCACTGGCATCAGCCCAGCTCACAACAATCTTAAACTCCTGGGTTCAAGCAATCCTTCTGCCTCAGCCTCCTGAGGGTGGCGGGTTCGAACCTGGTCCTGGCCAGCTGAACAATTGCAACAAAAAAAATAGCTGGGTGTCCTGGTGGGTGCCTATAGTCCCAGCTACTTGGGAAGCTGACACAAGAGAATCACTTAAGCCCAAGAGTTTGAGGTTTTGGTGAGCTGTGACGCCATAGTACACTATTGAGGGTGACATAACAAGACTGTCTCAAAAAAAAAAAAATTAAATTCTTTGTTATTGCCAGATGTGGTGGCTCCTGCCTTGTAATCCTAGCATTCAGGGAGGCCAAAGTAGGCAGATTGCTGGAGCTCAGGAATTTGAGACCAGCCTGAAGAACAAGACCCCATCTCTAAAAATAGCTGGCATGGGCAGCGCCTATAGCTCTGTGGGTAGGGCGCCAGCCACATACACTGAGGCTGGCGGGTTCAAACCTGGCCCAGGGCTGCTAAAACAACTCCAACAAAAAAAATAGTCCAGAGATTTTTGGCGTGTGCCTGTAGCTCCAGCTACCTGGGAGGCTGAAGCAAGAGTATCACTTAAGCCCCAGAGTCTGAGGTTGCTGTGAGCTGTGATGCCACAGTGCTCTATCCAAGGTGACAGCTTGAGACTGTCTCTAAAAAAATAAATAAAAATAGCTGGTCATTGTGGTGGGCACCTGTAATCCCAGCTACTCAGGAGGCTGAGGCAAGAGGATTACTTGAGCCCAAGAGTTTGAGGCTGCCATAGCTGTATCACTGCATTCTACCAAGGGTGACATAGACTGTCTCCAAAAATAAATAAATTCTATGTTACTTTCTTTAAAGATGGGGTCTTGCTGTATTGTTCAGGCTTAAGTGCAAAAGCTCTTCATAGGTGCCATCATTATAGCACTCCAGTAGCCCAGAATTCCTTGCCCTTAAGCAATCCTCCCACCTCAGCCTCCCAAATAGCTGGGACTACAGATTCATGCCCTAGCACTGGGCTAGATCTCTTTTTCATGTTATCATTTATGACCCACCACATGCCAGGACTTGTACCAAGTGCTTCTGTGCACTATCTTATTTCAGTCTCATAATCAATCTTTGAAATACGTACTAAGGAAGGAAGGCCTGGACCTTTTTCACCATCGCAGAATGGATATGGAAATAAAAATTAAGAGTCTAAACTAAAGCAAGATTAAAATGATTTCCATTAGTGTACAACTCATTTCTAACTTCCACGGACCTCAAGTTCAACTACCAAAAGATTAAGAAAACAGAAAACTAGGAATAACCCCACAACATTTGGAAAATTGACCCGTTTTAATTATTTAAAAACAAAAAACACATCACAACATCAAGTTTCCTTTACCGTCTACAATTCAGTTATATCCAAACATTCTAAGACCAAACAGAAGCAGAGAATTACAATGAGACGCTGAAGACACACGAAGGTGAATGCTGAAGATCAGAGGTGCAGTTGTAGGTCATACGTCTTCCATTCAAACACTCCAATACTTTTCATCTCAGTTTGTTAAAGAAAGTGTTTTACAGGAAGTTCTTTAATTTCATCCCAGACACCAGGTTTCTTCAGTGATAACACAGCTCCATGAAATTTGTGTTTCTATCCAATTGATAGGAATAAAAATTTTTTTGTCTTCTGTTTTGCTGGCATGCAGAAGTAAACCTATCAGATTCCTTATTACAACTGAGGAAAATGACAGGAAAGAAAAGATCTGGGCTCTGTTGGTGGTTTCTACTTGTCTTTCTGAGGGTGTGACTTCAAAAGAATTAATCACACTTAGGCCACTACAATGATTAGTACTAGTCATCTTTTTTTTAGGTGATAAAAACAAAAATACCCAATGGACGTAAAAATGGTCAAATTTTACCGCAGGTCAATTTTTCTCCCCTCAAAAGGTACAAAATGAACATATAATTGGGATGGTAACTCCATTGGACATTCCAATTTACTCATCCGCTTGTCCCCCATACAGGTAAGGGGAGCAGGCATTAGGTTGTATTAGTCATGTTATAGTAGTAATCAGATGTGCTAACGGCAGCTTATTTGAGGTCCGTTGATCCTTTGAATATGTGTAGGAAAGCAGGGCTGTTGGTCTCTGCCCACATCTGAACTCATTCAGCTACCATGGAAACTACAGGGAAGGAAAAATATATTTATTCCAAGATTTACTTGGATTTTTAAGTGCCCTTTCTTCCATAGAGCTTCACAGTGGTGATAATGTGCTAGGGGCTGCTGTGTTTTCCAGCATGAGCTCCCATCCTCTGAGGGTCCTGAGAAGGATAGTGGATTGGTCCTGGAGCCCTCATGAAAGGAGGGGGTGGTCCCATTGGGTGGAACATGTGTGGTCCAAAACCTGCAGAAAGAAGAGAACTCTGTTTAGGTTTATAGTTCCCTTGACAACGTTTCAAACCTCTAACTCTCTAGGGTCAAAACCACCAACGCATAAATCAAGGTTGACATGGGGCTTAAGCAAATGTCAGTTCACAGGACTTGTTCAGGAATAGCCACCTAGGTTATTTCCTTGGTTTTAGCAACCTTTCCCCTAAGTCTAAAAAACTCCATTGGACTCAAGGTATTGGCTAGGATGTCATCTGAGTCTCTGCTAAGTATCAAACATGCTAAATTTTACCAGACAGGATTCATAGGATCTGGGAGGTAAAGAAGAAATCAGGCTGATGGCAACTCTGTCATTAATCTCAATGCTTGACTGATACTAGAACGGAGGGTGTGCAGAGGCCAGACTCTTCAGAGACCAGTATGGGATCTCTGCCACAGAACTGGCTATCTGTGACTTCCTTACTGTTCACACTGTCTCTGACACTCTCTAGAGCAGTGATATACAAAGTGCCAGTCTGAAACCTGTTTATTACTGGCCAACAGATAAAGAGCTTAAGCCAAAAGGTAACTCAATTACATGACCAAAGCTCACTGCTCGGTTCATCTGATGGCTTTTTGTAACAAGACGTTCTTAACGAAGGAGAAATAATTCATTGTTTTATATTCAGGCACAAGCAAACAGGTGATAAATACTTGGTGAAATGATACCTGCTGACAGCCCACAGCCCACACTCTGAGCCCTAATATTCTAGGTACTGGTAAAGATTTAGTTTAGAATAGGGAACAAATTGATGATAGATCACTGTAATCCAGTAACTCCTACTCTCCTTACACATTATACTCAGATCTCTAGGAAACTGGCACCTTTCCTCTCTTTGGCAGGCCAGGAACAAAATGAAATATCAGGAATCTCAACGGATCAGGTTTACTTGTAGTCTTCGACAGAACAAACTAAGAGGATCTGGATGTGATGGACGTGATGGTGAGGTGTGAGACAGGATTCCCACAAACATTTCCCTGGGCTAAGAGTTACCTGGGGGGGGTGGCGGGGCAATACCAGGGGGTGGTGGCAGGGCAATGTTCACCACAGCTGGAGGGCCACTTGGGGGTAAGTTGAAGTAGTTGGCAGAGGCTTCTTCTTCTGCTGCAGGAGGAGGAGGAAGAGCTGGAGGAGAGAACATAGGGAACACTTAGAGGGGAAGACAACTGTGCAATGTCATTTCTACC